CCTTCATCCCATCACTCATTTTCAGGTTTTAATATCTTCTGCTGATAAAGCAAAATGTTTTGCTCGTAATTTTATCTTTAAATTCTACTCTTGAGTCATCTCGAGTACCTTTGCCTAACTTTCCCCTTAAAATTGAGTCTCTGTTGAGTGATATACACATAACTACGTCCATGGTTTCTGCTGTCATCTCTAAACAGGATCACCACAAAGCATGTGAACTTGATGATATCCCTGCAATAGGCCTTAAGAAATGGGCTACTGAACTGTCTCCTGTTGAAAATTCTCTTTTGTAGTTCCAGTTTTTAACAACTAAGTTGAACCATCTGACTATCGGCTTATTAGGACTAGAGAAAGGGAAAGGACTAGAGCCTCTAATTAACTCTCAATTGGTTGAGCATCTCACGAGGCTTTTTCTAGAAAAGCATTATGGTTTTCACTTCTCTTGGTTAAATCAACTTATAGGGACTGGTATACTGGTCTTCTTCACAAGTTGAAAGGTTATGGTATTTTGGGGGGAATTTTTGAATTCATTTAGTCTTTCTTCTTAAATCTCGAATGAAAATGCCTTGTATGGCATCTCTTCTAGATTTGTTTGCATAAATGCAGATCTTCCTCAGGGCTATATTATTGGACCTTCGTTGTTTATAATTTTCACAAATGACATTCCTGATGCCATTAGTTCTCAAATTGGTAAACTATGCTGATGACCCAACTCTTTATTCCTGTCTTAATAATAAAACTGATCGGTTCGATAAAGCCAAATTGGAAGCTGATCTAATAAATGACCTGCAATCTGTTCTTAACTGGGGAAGAAGTGGCTTGTTAATTCTAACCACTCAAAAATGAAACTGTTGTCTTTTAATAATCTGAGAGAACTCTTTTCGCCTCCCATCAACATGGCTGATGTTAATCTCCAGGGGAATGACTCAATGGACCTTCCAGACTAACATCCTTAACGGACTTGAAGTGTAAACAATATATTGAATCAATTGCTAAGTCTGTAACTAAGAAAGTTGGTTCACTATATAGTACTAGACAATGTTTATATATTTATAAGTCTACCATTCGTTCTTGCTTTGAATATTAATGACACATCTGGTCTAGTGCTTCTGTTATATATTTAGAGGTCCTTGATAAAATCTAAAGACAAATCTGGTTTTGGTTCTGACCTGGCATCTCGGTTTCAGTGCCTTTCCCATTTCCGTAACGTCGCTTCCCTGTGTCTTTTCTATAAATACGTTCATGCTAATTGTTCTGATGAACTTTCCTTTATGGTAACTAGATTTTATTAATTTAAGCGCAGTACTAGATTGGCAGCAAGGTCTCATCATTTTACAGCTGAAATGGATAGATGCAACCGTAAGTTCTATGCTAACAATTTCTTCTATCGCTAGTGGAACTTTCTTCCGGGTTCTTGATTCCCAGTCAACGTTGACCTTTAAAAATTTAAATGCAATGTCAATCGTTATCTTCTGTCTTCTTATCCTTTTATTGTCCTCTCTCTTTAATAGTAGATTTTTTTTTCACATATTCTCTAGCACTCAGTAACCTTTTGCGTCCTAATTGCTTTATTGACTTGCCTGGGGTGAAATGATTTAAAAAAGAAACGAAGAATTATATAAAATTATTGGATACAAGATTTATTTAAGGAAAATAATAATTTCTATTATTGTTATTAGTTTAAAACTGGAACCGAATATAAAACCAACTATATAGGATATAATGTGTATGAGTCGAAGTGAACAAAGATAAATTTGAATCTCCATGAATTTATTGAGAAATACAACCGAAATTCTTGGACACATCTCAATTAAAAGCGTTCAGTATTTAATGGCATTTCCATTATTTCATATAATTCTCGTTTTTTACCAAACTCTTTCCACTGACCTGGGAAAGAAACGAGTGAATACTTATTCTTGAGAACATCAGAGTGTGGTTAACTTGCTTGCACTTGCCGCTGAATAGTGAGTTCGATACTTACTAGGCGACCAATTCTTTTGGCCTTGTGTCAAACTTAAGGTAAGCTTAAGAAAATGGCAACACAGGTATATTTTTTTATTTAGGCAGTTTTCGTTTCGTAACAACGGTCTGACAAAATTACTTAGGATTATAATAAAAGTCAATACCTATACTAAGATATATAAACGGCACGATTTGTAAATTGTCGCCATTTTATATTTTTATTTCGTGCATGCGCGTTGTTTGTTTTTGATTTTGTCGACTGCACAGTATAGTAAGGTCATTTTGGAACCATCTGTAAGAAAAAGAGCAACATGAAGAAATTCACTCAGCAGGAAGTTTGGAAAAGGCATGCTGTACTGTATATATGCACCGGAATTTCCAATACGAATATTTCAGAGAGTTTGGGTATTTATCTGAGGACTGTGCAGAGGATTCGGAAAGAGTTGGATGAGTCTAATTGTGATTACGAAAGTGTTTGGAGTAATCACTAGTGATGGCGACCTTATGCCGCCATTCGTCTTCTCACAGGGACTCAGCCTCGGAAAACTCACTCCAATCGTTCGGATAAGATGTGGCACCATGCATCCAGGCAGAGAAAAAAAGGCAGAAAGGGAAAAGAAAGAAAAGAAGAAAGGAAGGGAAAAGTGAGGCGAGATCCGAATCATAGGTGATAAGCGAACATACACACGGCTAAGAGGCAATAAAAAAAGGGTTATTTTGATAAGTGGCAAATGGCGAAAAGAGGTCATTACAATGACAATGAGATTTGAGTGGGTAGGGAAGTGTTATCTAAGGATATGAAAAACAAACTATTGGTACGGGAAGGCATCTTATTATCAACACAGACCACCGGCCAAGGGAAAATTCAAGTGAAAATGTTATTTCGATAAGTGACGAAAAGAAACAGGCGACTAAAAAAAAGACTTTGGACAGATATGAAAATTAAAGGCCACCTACGAGTAATCGTTGACCGATTTTCCTACTTGGCCTGCGCGAATGGAATTGTGTTATCAAGAAATGTTCGCCAAAGAAAGTCCACTTGAAAACGTTAATTTTGATAATTGACAAAACACAGGTGTAGCTACAGAGCCTTAGTTAGATATGGAAAATTAAAATCCCACACAAGCAGTCTCGTTAACTAAATTCTTTTCGACAAAACAACTTTTGCCTGCAATAATAAATTTATGTTATCAGGAATATGTGCCGAAAGAAAAATGGGTGGGAATCCAGGGGTATTTTTTCTTTCTTCCTTGGAGACGTCAGACTGACTGAAAACTTGGGGATAATTCTTTTTTGAAGCCATGTTAAGAATACCAACCATCTTGATAAATTAGCGATAAAATACCTGACGTAAGCCACGTGTAGAACAAGAATTATGACCCCATTGTTCATATTTTCCCGTTGGTGGCCAGAGAAATGATACAGCGATTAAGGAAGAAAAAGAAAAGCAAAAGATAATTTTTTTTTAGTTAAACAAGGTATTTTTTTTCCGAAACAAAGCCGCAGATTGTTCACGCCCGACTAAGACATCATTGGTCAAGTGGTGATCACGTGACGCACGAGGGAGGAGGAAAGATACCCGACCAAGACCTCATTGGCCGAGACTGATCACGTGACGCACGAAGAAGGCTGTCGACGCCCCCATCCAGAGTATAAGTATGAGAAGTTGCTACGAAGAAGTGGGGAGGGCAGTTCACGCCCTCAGAAGTATGGTGAGAAAGTGGGAGGAGAAAAAGTTACCAAAAATGGAAAAGAGTTGGAAAATCCCTAACCAGAAATAAAAGAGGTGGATATGTATTTAGAATTATCGAGGAACTCCCCGACGCCAACAGACCCACCCCGGTTTTGGTCGGCGTCAATAAAAGCCAGGCCCCAACAGGCAGAAATCAGTTCGGGCCCTGGTGGCAGAGATGAGTGTCCAGAAAGTTCGGGCCCTGGCGGCAGAGATGAGTGTCCAGAAAGTTCGGGCCCTGGCGGCAGAGATGAGTGTCCAGAAAGTTCGGGCCCTGGCGGCAGAGATGAGTGTCCAGAGAGTTCGAGTTCCAGTTTCCAGAGTTGAAGCCGCCTCGAGATAGCTGACCAAGATTCACGCAAAATTCCGGACTCCTCTTCAACCAAGAACAATTATTTTGAAATTCCCACCCGAATCACCAAAAGGTTAGAACGTCACATTTGGGTGCCGCGAGCGATACCAAGCCAGTTGGTCGTCACAGGACGAGACAACACGACTGACGCGACAGGCGGACGTCACGTTTGGAGCAGCGACACCCGGACGGAGCAGCGAGGAGCGAACAGCTGGCGCCGCGGCGAAGACGTCACAAGTGGTGCTGTTTGAGGACGTCACAACTGGCGCCGTGGTAGATCAGGATAGAACGTCACAGTTGGCGCTGCGACCGGGGGACGACGTCACAAAGAAAAGAACTCTCAAATTTGTTGGTGAGTGCCTCAGACTCAACCCGGAGGCCTACATCAAGCATCTTAAGGAGGTAGTGTTGCTCTGGGTCAATAGGATGGCTGCTGGAAGAACCTATGTTTGGTAACAGGACTCTGCATCATGCCACACAAGCAGGAGAATCCAGTCATGGCTGTCAGACAGTTTCTGCTATTACTCACCTCTTACATCTGGCCACCTAACTCCCTAGTCTGACCATCCATTATGTGTGGGGCGCAGTTAAGCGAGAGGCCAACAAATCTCCTTGCAACACTAAAGATGAAATTAAGGCAGGGATTATGGCACCATTAACCATTTTATACAAGGAAACCGTTCAGAAGAGTTGCAGGAGATTCCGAAGTCGTCTTGAGACCGTGGTTAAAGTTAATGGCTATTTTATTAAATAAATTTACTCTTCAGTATTTCAAGATATTTTTGTGCGATTTTGATAAATATATCTGTTAAAATGAGATGTCAATGTTATTGTCATTTGTCCGTAATTTAGACGACAATTTATTCATCGCACCCATTTATTATTTAACCAGAAAAAATTCGAAGATTTATTAAATTCCAAAAAATTTTAGTCAGTATCGTTTAAGGCCTACAG